ATTCTCTGCCAGTGGCGGCGGTGAAGCTGTACTTCGTTCTGCAACGTTGCTCTCTTCTTGAAGAAGACATGCACCCGACTTTGATGAAGATGACCGGCTACAGTTGCTCTATCGGCAAAGCAGAACCCAAATCCATGGTCCCCATGGACGCCCTCCAATTTGATGAATAGGCGGCGACGGCTGGGTAAGGGATGTGGGTTGGGGAGTTGGCGGAGAAGGTTGGGAACGGGCAGAGAAGGCTGGGGGCGGTGGTGGTGGCTAGGGTAGCAGGCCTCAATGGTGGTAGTGAGGCTGGGGTAGGCGGGAGAGAGGGATGGGGTAGGCTGGAAAGGGGGCAGGGGGTTGGTGTTGGAGACGGCTGGGGTTGGCGTCCGACAGTCGGGCGGTGGTGAACGGTAGTGGTTTCCGGCGGTAGTTTTCGACTTTTCGATAGTGGTTACTATTAGACAAGGCCGGTAATTACAACCGGTCCGCCTGGGGTAACCGGTCAATGTGGGTAACGGTAACGCTTACGTTCAGACATCTATAAGCGGATGAGTCGGGTAACCGTAACTGGTCGGATCAGATAATTGTAACTGTACGAATCATGTAACTGTAACTGGACGGGTCGGGTAACTGTAACTGGACGGGTCGGGTAACTGTAACTGGATGGGTCGGGTAACTGTAACTGGACGGGTCGGGTAACTGTAACTGGACGGGCCGGGTAACTATCACTGGACGGGTCGGGTAACTGTAACTAACGAATCAGATCGGGTAACTGTAACTGACGAGTAGGGTAATTGTAAGTTGTAACTGACGAATCGGGTAACTGTAACTAGGGATTGCAGGTAACTGGTGGGACGGGTCACTGAAAGTTTTCTTTGTCACTGTCATTTTTTTGTCACTGATAGATTTTTGGTCTCTTATGGAGTATATTAATAACTGAGACGATGATCACTTGAGCGATAATGATTGAGGCGATGTCACTGGACCGATAATAATTGGAACGGTTGTTATTTGAGCGGAAGTAGTAGTAATCGGGTCGTTGGTCATTGAGATAGTTGTCTAACAATTTTCATATCTTAATACTTTGTAAGTCTGTAATTGTATTTAGAAATAATACTACTTATGAAAATATTACAATAATATTATAGTCATTATTATAACGGAATATTAAAAAAACCCACTAACGGAATGCATTAAAAAATTATTAAATAGAAAACAAAACATTAGTTGTGCTTGTGAGAGTTACCGTGTGCAATTAGCAAGTTCCATCACTTCCATGCGCTGGAATGGTACGGTGCTCCAGGCGTACGAAGGGTAAATTGGTGAGGAAAATCTTTATTAGTCTCATTATTGGAAATTAAGAAAAAAGGTCTCTTTTTTGTCCATTACCTATTTTTTAGTAATATTTGTGCCAAAACCCCATATTATTACTAATTTCGAACTAATTACCCAAAAAGTGATCACTTTTAAAAAGGGGCAAAAAAGTGATCAAGAAGGTCATATATGTGCAATTAGAAAACATGATGTAACTGCAAAAATTTTATGTCACTGCGTGTTCATTTTTTTGTAACTACAGCCACCACCCATGTCACTACAAACACCGTCCGTTTCACTACAACCACCGCCCATGTCACTACAAGCACCGCGCGTGTCATTGTGACCACCGCTCGTGTCACTGCAACCACCGTCCGTATCACTGTAGCCACCGCCCGTGTCACTTTAGCCACCGCCCGTGTCACTTTAACCACCGTTCATGTCAGTGCAGCCACCGCCCGTGTCACTATTGTTCCAGTGACTATCGTACAGTTACTACCGTCACTTACAGTTACTCGACCCGTCATTTATAGTTACACGACCAGCCAATTACAGTTACCCGACTAGTCCCAAACTCCAAAATCCAAATTATTAAACGCGACCAGTTATAGTTACATTGTTTGACTATAAACTATTACTCGATGTGATAGTGACCACCGCTACCACCGCTAGTTAATGAACTCCACCACCATGTCACTGCCGTAGTGACAACTCTGTAGTGACATTTCAATAGTGACATCTCCGCCCCAACCTCCGATCATTTCTGCAGTGACATCTCAGGCCACCACCGTCGACGGCCACAGTGACACGCCATCTATTGTGTGCCCAGCCACCAACCCATGCTCCTCACAGCCCCCATCCCTATACCAAGCCTATTGGCCATCATCGCAAACCACCATCAACCCTAGCCGCCAGTCAACCACCAACACCGCTGCTTTCGATTTGAACCGTAATAGTCGGATCTAACACTAGCTTGGTTGCGATGGAGATGGGCGGGGCTGGGATTGACGGTGGAGGTCACGCGTAGGTTGTGTGACGGGGCCTTATGGTGACGGCGACGGCCATTAGACTCCATCTTCATCCCATCGAACTGACAGAAAGAGAAGAAACAGATGGTGGCAAGGTCGAAGATGGCAACGGCGGGATGTTCGGTGGTGCTTGGAGAGATGCTACGCAGGAGAGAGACCGTGAGGAGTGATTAGTCCCTTAGGAGAACAGAAGAAGCGGACAATAGGCCCAAACGATTTTTTTAAATCTGATCACTTTTTTGTGATTTTAGAAAGCACTCATATTTTTGTCTTCTAAAACTCCCAGAGCAATATTTAGGCCATTATTTCATATTGAAATGTCAATGTAAGATAATTGGAATATAATTTATAACAGCAATTAAAGTATAAATAATTTCAATGGAAACATACTCCACTTTATTAGATGTAAAGGAAATACTACCTCCGTTCTCTTTTAATTGCAACATTGGACTTTTTTCACTATTCACATATTCTACTTTGATTATATTTTATTAATTAATGCATTATAAATTAAATTTTTAAAAAATATTGTTAAATTCTTCTCATTCTAAGTTTTCAAAATATGAATTTTTTAAATTTTTTACTAATAAGGAATAAAAGATATTAATTGTCAAACTTGTACGTTGGCAAACGTGAAATGTTGACTGTTGCAATTAAAAAGGAATGGAGTAAATATGCACTTTAAAAGTTCATAAACGGGGCAAAATGGGAGATATTGAGGTTGTTTGCGTTATAGCGTTTTCAGCCAAAATGGTCAAAACAGTAGCATTTATTTTGTTTAAAAATTGACGTTTTGCCCCAACAGGTAAACTAATTAATATCCAAACACAGCCTTTCCCCACACGTGAAGTCCAAATTAATAAACATGCACCAAACCGATTATATTGTTTGCGTTCGATCGATCGAGATTTACCTGTTATTATTTGTGTAACGTTTTTTTTGTTGTAGCCTTGTAGAGTCCAATTTATTTATTCAAAGTCCTGTTTTGCAATTTGCAAAGGATAAGTACTAAGTAGAAACCCGTAATTAATTAGAGTATAGAGATAGATCTATCTAGAGTCGGTGTTGAACTCTATTTAATGGTAATGGTAATCTGGGACGAATTCATTTGAAGCGAGTTACTTGCTGATAATCCGTGTAATACAATACAATGCAGGGCACAGCCGCCGACGCGTTATTAATGTCATACAGCCACCGTCTGGGGGACTCCGGCGGTAAAATCAGCATAACGGTAACCGCCGTTTACGAGAAAGACGATCCAACACTTCCAACTTTGCTCTTCAAAGATACTACGAGGTATCCGAGCACTGGCGGAGCCACACTTTACATTGCCATCAACCCTATTAGTAGCAGCAACAATAACGATGAAGGTATTGTCATCTACCGAGCCGCTCCGGTTGAAACTTATATGCGAGTATCAGATTATTCTGAAAGCCGGACATATTTCTCAACCAGCATCAATGCTCGTTTTCTTACTCTCAAAGTACTCTTCGATGTCGATGCCCATCCCGAATCGGCGTCCAAGCTGGCGGAGGAAGTGAGAAAAAGCTGGGTGGTTTCCCGGAAACAGCGCCGTGTAGATGCGGTTGCGTGGGATGATAACAACCTGCTTGGAATGAGGTCTAGTTTTACGGACTACCGCGGACAATCTAAAGAGAATATTTGCGTGGCTATGGATTTTTTATCTTTTGGATCGCTTAGAACCATCATGAAGAAGACCACATCCCCAGCCGGCGGAGGGTTTCGTGATGAGTATCTCATCCTATGCGCTCTCAGATCCATTCTCGCCGCCCGGTTGGGTATATGTTCAAGATCTGTTTGGGTTACGCCGCCACCCTTTTTGAGGATGGCGAGGACGGTGACGTTTCCTCGACGTCCCCGTCTTTCTTGCCTGTGCGGCGGGTGTCAGACTGGGCTGCGGCACCGGAAGTCTACCACGGCCACCAACCCTACACCCAAAAGGCAGACATATGGCTCGTGGGAATCACCGCCTTGGAGCTCGCTTATGGTGGGCTCAGAGTGGACGCCCGGGAAACCCTAGATGACTTCATTACCGAGATACAGGTCATGAAGAAACTTCCTAGCAGAAAGGATATTATTTATGAAAAAGGAGGTGTGATCACCGTTGAGGTTGTTAAGAGGCTGCGGGCTGTGAATCAAGAGAGGAGATCGGCGGGGAGAGAGGATTTTTGTATTAATAAGGTGACGAATTCGGTAAAACATTATTTGAAAAGTAAGGTCTTGAACCTTTGGCTGCAGGAGGGGGAGGACTTGATGGTGCCACTAGTTCCATCGCCGGCGGCGACCTCAACCGATGATCGGGAGTCGCCGTTTTCCGAAGAGTTTACAAGGATAGTTATGGAGTGTTTGGCTTGGAGTCCTAAATTGAGGCCTAGTGTTAGCACTCTTCGCTCCTATAAATTCTTTCGAAGGAATGATGCGTTCGAGGATGGAAATTATTTCCATGCTAAGACTACATCCAAATAATGCTTGTACTTCATATACCATGTCTCTCTCTTAATTAGTTTTTTCTTCGTAAAGGAGAGTTGTTTCTATATGATATGAAGTATTTTGGGAGTATAGTTCATACTGATATGGCTGTGGTAAAAGTGAGATATATGTGTACATTACTATTGTCTAACTTCATACTGATCTGGCATGGTCTGACTGAAACAAATCTAAGTGAAATCACCTTAAATAGATATTTTAAGAATAAAAATGTTGAAGTCTTAAAATCTTACTTAAGTAACCATGCAGTCACATTTTGGATAAGTTTTTACAGATTTTATTCTAATGAATACTCTTGCAAAAGGAAATGAATAACTTACAGCTTGTAAAATTGACAAAAATAACACAATTGATTATGAAGCTGAAACCCATTGGTCAATTAAAAGTAAAAAATATCAAAAATTATGAACAAAAAAAATAGTGAAATGATATCTCGGGAGACTATGAACTTGCATTTGACTCTGGTTCGTAATTGTCTGAAGAAGAAGGGGCTGTCCAATATTGTTTGGTTGCAATCAGAATCTTCTCCCTCACATGAGGACTGTCTTCATGATCGGCCATTTGGTTTTCCCATTGAAGCCCATCAGCTATGCTTTTAACGCTCACCATTACATCCACGTCATCTCGGATGATAACACTTCCTTGGGGCCGCAATATCCTATCCATCTCCAACAAAATATTTTCAATCTCGCATCTGTCAAAATGCATAACATTTTATTGTCACTTGGAAGCAAGACAGTAATTTTTATTGCATGTTAGTATATGTATATAGTAAGACTTAAAGTTCTATCGTAAAAGATCAACTTAGATGAATACATTAAGATCTTAAATGTTGCTGCTAAGGAATAGGTTTAAATAGTATACCTGTCTTTGTAAAGAGAGAAAATGCCATCCGCATGAATGAAGTCATATGTTCTTGGATAAGTTGACATGGCTTCACACCTAAAGAAAATTTAGTTCAGTTAATTTGCAACATTCTCAATCAGCTTTTTGAACAAGATCTTTAAAAGCGGTACCAATTGTGGTAAGTCCCGATCAGACCCCGTTCAAATATAACGCCAAGAGTATTCACTTTAGCCTCAACGGGGACAACGTTCATCACCCACACCGGATCATCGATAAGTGCAGCAGCAAATCCTCCCAACTTAGCATTCATATCGAGGACATTTCGGTACCTACCCTGCTCTGCCAACTGAAAATCCACACCCTTGTAATGGTCTACTCTCTTCTTCCATAGCAGTGTATCTTTGTTTAATGTTTCTCCAGTTATTCCTTCAACGCTTCCGCTACTGATCCTTGGAGGTGTTGCAGTTAATCTTTCAGGCCATTTAGCTAAGTCCCCACCCGCAATTTCTTTAATATTGGACACTTCAGGCAGGGGACTCAAACAAGCTTCCATCTTGGTGTACCTGGTAATATATTTACACTAAAGTTTCTTTAAAATGTGTAAGTGAACATTGAAAACCCCCTTAAACATTTCTACTTAAATACCCATTGAAGAAAATATTTGAAAATTAATTGTTTAAATTATATGACCAATAACCAACACAGTTAAAAAGACTTTGAGTTGTGATCGTTGGTAATTGTATTGGTGACATTTAGGATTAAGGATGTCTAAAGTCTGAACCCCTTGACACTAAGGGAGCATGGGTGCCCAAAGTTCTTTTCGACTCATTGTTGGGAGGGACAATCATGTTGTTGGTCTAACGACAAGAACCCGGTCATGCGGTATGCTCCATGACTAAAGAAGATCTGTTTAAGAAAAACATTAGTACATTACCATGCACTATCAGGATCTTGTCCCTGGCAGAAGAGTGGTTTCTTAAAGACCTTCCTAGTGACTTTGCAGTGCACATGATTAGTAGGTTTCTGCCAAATGGAAAGATCTCCTTTCTGAACTACTTTTTTCCAGCACAAACTTTTTGCAATACTCTCAATTTGATCTTGCTCTTCCTTCAAATCAGCCCTTGTCCTGTTCCACCCTCTCCAGTGTGTTTGCCAGTTAATAGGCGGCCCCGAGAGAATCCAATACCCACCCGGCCGTAAAACTCGATCTACCTCGATCAAGTAAAGCCCATCTGGAGGAAATTTAAAATGTATTAGAACTCATACCCACAGTTGACAGTTACCATAAGAAAAACAAGAACATAGCTTTACTCAGAAATTTCTGTGAACACTTTTAAGGCTTGCCTTGACATCCCTATGGTAGGTGAAACTAGACACTAAACCAAACCAGTTGACCATGTTTGGTCGGATTTTGTCAGTTTCGGTTGGCATTTGGATGGTTCCCATAGCCAAAAGCGTAAACTGCAAACTGAACCGCCTATGGTTTTATAGGTTTTGGTTGATCCAAGTTTTGGTTGGTTCGGTTTAGGCTACGGGGCTACCTACAGCTAAGTAACTTTTAGAGAACTTGGCTTAAATTTAAGAAACAAAACGACGTTTATTTTGTAATTTACCATATTGGCCCCAAGGAATGAGACATCGTGAACAATGAGCCATGTCGAAAGCTCGGGAAGGATAGGGCAGCCGCTTGGAAGCTAAGAGACCAATGGTTGCAGGAATGCCCCTCTCTAAGGCAAACTGCACTTGAGCTTCATGTGTGTCTTTAGGTGCAAATGATAAAGGCAGTATGTCTCTGGACAGTAAGTAGGCTCCCCAACTAGCAACCTGAATTGCCCCAAAAAGGAAAAGAAAAAAACCATTTGTTTAAACATGATGGCCAAGCAGTCAAAAACCTTGGATCGCATTACTAATGTGATGATTGTGTTCAACTAACTTTCATCTAAAGTCAACCTCCTTTAATTTGAACTATGCAAAGAAAAAATATGCTTCAATGATGAAAGTTCATAAATTCCTGCTATGGATCTAATTTCACTATTAGGAACATTTAATCGCAATTTATCAAACGCATGCCAACAAAAAGGTGAAAAACCACACCTGAAGTCAATATCACAACTCTTTCAAGAAATGGCAATATCAAAACCATTCTAGTGTGAACCCGTAATCCACTACTAAAACAACTATCCAAACACATATCATCCAAATCTCTTCAACGTCTTTTAAAATTTTCTAAATAATCTCCATTATTCTAGTTTTATTATTACGAATTATTGAACAACTTTAGAACTTTTTCTATTTCCAACTAGACATGTTTAAAAAGGTGCATGACTCTGTATTTACATGAATTTCATTTCAAATATTGTTCAGTTTTATCAATTACCTAATATTTATAGGTTTAAATGTCTAATAGTCCATTTGGTGACCTTATTTGTCGTCTTAGGCAACTTTTTCAAAGTACAAAACTTTTATTTTTGTACGCCGAATTGATTAATAATTATGTAGTAAAATAATAAGATTGATACTACTTTTCTAGTTGGATGTGATGACATTACTTTAGAGTACTGTTTTAGTTATTCTTCATATAATTTTTTGTTTATCATAAGAAACTGTGAATAACCGTGGCCAAACACTTCATCTATAAACAGTCTACTATTGCAAATAGCATAAAATTTGTAATCAACGTTTATTCACAAAATCCATTCGGAACACTTTGAATTGTGACTCATTGTGAGAAATAGATAGATTGTTGTTTACAGTTTAATTTTTTTTATAATAAAACTTTTTGGGTAGGGTTATACTTTAATGAGGGTAGGATTTAAGGAAATGAAAATGGTGGTTATTGTTTAGTAACTACAAAGTTCCTATGAATTGAAAATGAGTATGCGATGGTTTTTAGGGTGCACGAAAAGTTAAGTAATTGAATGCGTATTTCGTTCGATATTATTGCACAAAATACACAAAAATGATTCAATTTAAGATTATTAATGTCATTCAATATTGTCAACGTATTAAATGTAAGGATTAAATAATTCGCATGACATTATCTAAACATTCCATCAACCCCTTTTATGTTAATCAGATTCTATATTTTGACGTTTTGTTTGATGTAACTGCAAAAAAACGTGATCTGTAATAATGCAAGGTAGCATCAAAAGTTCCCATCTCACCAACAAATCAATAACTTAACTAATTAACCACACAATTGTAAGTATATAAATCCAAAAATGGAATAATTGACGGTCAATTTTATTTTTTGTCATATGGTGATGAAGACAAAATGAAACAGAATTTTAATCCCAATAATCCTAATATGACAAATGTAGAACTAAGTCAACTAACCAATTATCATGTTCAATTTAAAACATTTAATAATATATCATTCGGATTTTTTCTCATAAATATAGTTGAAATAAACTTACCGAAAAAATGTTACTATGGTTGAATATACCCTCTGTAACAAAAATATCTTTCCAATTTCCTTTTTTCATCCGTAACAAAAAAATCTTCTCATCATGTCCTCAATAATTTTCAAAATAATACACTATTACAACTATTTTTTGGACATATCCTTCATTTCATGACATTATTTCACTATCTTCTAATCATACCCTCAATAATTTATACGGGGTATCTTTTTTCAATATTCTTAATCTATCTACTTTTGAAGTGGGAAGATTTTAATGTTACGAAGAGAGTATTTATAGCTTATTTTGTTTTTAAACATAAACATATTCCTAAAAGATATAGCTTATTTCGTTTTTAAATTCCCTGAAATCGGAAAGAAATAGAATCCACACCGAAGATGGTAATTAATCGTACATGGATTGATGGAGTAATAACAAAAGAAATAATTAGAGTATATGATCAAAATAAATGTAGTTTATAAAAATGTGATTAGTGATTTGAGTTGTAATTTATTTGGTCATATTAATTTATGTTCAATTTTCACTTGGGATTATAAGAATATAGTATAGTCATCATTAATCACATTTTTGTAAATGAGTACGTAGTATATTTTTAGTAATATTTTCAAACATACAAAAACTCATAAAAATCCCATTACACGCACATTTTACTCTTTTCATTAAAGAAAAACGTATATTATTTTATTAATCTTCTAATATAATTGAGAATATCAATCTTATAGTAATGTATTCAACTCTTTACTCTTAATTAAAGTAAAAAAGCAATATAGAATAGATCAATAGAATAACATACCCCACAGCCGGTGTCTATGGCCGTCCGGATGGACCCATCTTTGAGGTTGATGAGGTGGCCGATGTCATCAATGTATGAGTCAGCTCCACGTGGAAACATGGTCCCACCACCGGGGAAGATGAACCGGTCCTCCTTGAACCGCACCCAATTCTGGCCGGCCTTCTCGACCGTCAAGTGCTTATGTGGGACGTTGGCGTACCACACCGAGTCACGGCTCTCCGGCCACCGCACCGGAATCTTGTAACCAAACGGCGCCGGAATCCTGCACTTCAGCAACTCGTTCTCCTCCGGGCAGTGCCTCTCTCTGTATATTAGCATGTCCCTGTCGAATTGTAACGACCGCTCGGTGTCCTCGCACGGCGTGTACTCGGAGAGCTCCGCCTTACACGGCGGGAATTTCTTAGCCTCCGCCGCCGGCAGGAGCGGCACGAGTTCTTCAGCAGCGTGGTGGGTGCGGAAGTCAAGGAATTCTCCGTCGGGAGATATATTCTTACCGATTAAAATCTTGGTCGGAGGATTACAGTTGACTGACGGGAGGAACTCACCGGCGGATATCCGGCGGTTGAAGAACCCGCCGTTTTGGAAGATTCCGACGAGATAGAACACAGAGCAGAGAACGGCGATCGAGGAAATGAGATACAGATTAGTTTTTTTTGTTCTCGCGTTAAGGAATCTTGGCAACTGGGAAGAAATCGCCATTGTTGCCGCCAAACCCAAACGGAGAAGAAGAATATTGGTACAGTAATTTCTTCTCTTTTTTGTTTTATTTCGCCGCTTTTATAAGATCATTGTTTCCAAATGTAGACAGCGATGGGTATTTCTTTCATAGATATAAATACTGCCTATATAATATTCCATACCGTATATACATGAGCATACCAAACTAGCAAACTAAATAATCCATATAATTAATATTACTTCCCTCCCACTCCACTTTGTAAAGTTAATTTTTTGTGGAAAATTAGAATAGTAAACATTGTGCAATTGATGTTTGTGCAAGAAAAAAGAGAAATTGAACAAAATTACAAATTCATTGTTTCGAAAAGAAAGTGATAAAGGTTTCAGAATAAACGAGAAAGGGAGTTGGAGTCGAGTAAATCAGTGTAATTAATATTGCGTCACAATTCGGTTATTTGTGTATAGAATTTAGAATATAAAACTGATTAGTTTTTATGTACTTAGCATGTTACTCGGGTTAATATATGTTCCAATAATTATAACATCGTTTACTGGAATGACACTTGAATTTGCCATTAGACTACATGGCACACATATCTTTAGTTACAAGGTGGGATTGAAATGAGAGTTTAAAACAATAAAGCTGGAAATTTAGAAAAAAGGGAGAAAACCAATCTAAAATTTGAAATTAATGGCATTTTTCTAAATAGGATTGTCTTCAAAATTTACTTTCATACTTCGGTTTACAATTGACTTTAATACTCCCTCCGTCCCGGGGAGAAGCTCCCAATTTCCTTATTTGGATGTCCCAAAAGAAACTTCTCATTTCCCTAAATGGAAAGATATCCTACATTAAAACAGTGCCAAACAGTACCAAACAGTGTCGAAACAGTGCCAAACAGTGTCGAAACAGTGCAAAACAGTAAAACTTACCCCTCAATAACTTTATTTCCTAAAAATGTGTGAAAGTCAACCTGAGACCTTCTCCCTGGGACGGAGGGAGTATGACAATAAGAATACTACAATTGTCAGTATTTTCTTATAAAGATACTCCATACTCCATAATATTTACTGCCGTTATAGTATTCCTATTTTGAAAACTTTATGTTATTCTTTACTCTTAGGCAATTTCTTCAAAGTTGTCTATTTGGGATCATATCATTTGTTATAGACAAATTATGTTGATTTTTAAAATAAATTGTGTGTAATATTGACAAATAAATGTCGGTGATACCGATCGTTTTTTCCTTTAAGGCATAATAGAGGCCATACTGACATAAATTGTTTGAAACACGAGCAATAGAGTGTTCATGAGCTTGTACACCCACGGTCACGGATGTGTACAAACATAAATTGTCTTCGAAAATTGAAATTATATGATTTATGAATCTAATTAATATACAACTCCGTATAAGGACATGTATGGACAATTTGTATATGGAGCGGTTGATTTCAATTTGTAATTTTGCAATTTTGGCCCGTACCCGATATATGATACGATTAACACTACTTGATATTCGTGAGCCGTTGGATTGGTTTTGGACCTTGGTTTTGGACCTTTGGTGTAGGATGTATTTTAGCGTTAGGGTGGGTAGAAACCCACATAATATTTTTTAGTTTTAGTGTAATTTTTCATTTTTTATATTCATTTTTTACCTTTAAGAACAAGCTAACTCAATTCCGGAATCCTCGTTGAGTTGATCACGATTGTGTGATCGTCACCCAATGAGCATATAATACGTACTCCCTCCGTCCCCTTAAGTTTGTCCCGTTTTACCTTTTTTGTCCGTCCCACTAAGTTTGTCCCATACCATATTTAGTAACATTTGAGTGGTTAGAATTCATTCTTACTTTATTTACACTTTATCAATTCAATACCAACCACATAATTCCACTTTTTCTTAAAAACCACACCACACCCCTCCGTCCCAAACTTAGGGGGACGGAGGGAGTATGTATAATATGTCCCATTGTCCATTTGAGAGAACACTATGGGCAGGGGCGGACCCATGAAATTGATATTGGGGGGCGATAATTTAAACAAAAAAATCTAGGCGATTATTATTATAAGGTATAACCTTAATATAATACGGAGTAGTAATTAAATGAAGCATTATAATAGAAGAAGAGACAAATATATTATTACAAAATAGTTAAAGTTAGTACCTTAGAATTGTACTCAATGCTTCTTCAACGAGATAAATTCCTCAATCACGGCTTTTTAGTCAAAAGTTTTAGCAATTTCTCTTTCAATATAAACAATAAGGTTGTCTCCAACATACCCATCCTCCATTTTATTGTGAAGCCTTGTTTTTATAATTTTCATTGCAGAAAAAGTCCTTCCGGTTGTTGCTGTCGAAACCGGTAGAGTCAACAAAAGTCGGATCAATTTATCAACAAGCTAAGAAAGTACACTTTTGACATCTCCGTCTCCGCTAATCTTTGACAAAGTTCACCCATTGTAGAAAAATTCGCCAACTTTGGATGGTTTAGAACATTGAGCTTATAATGTTGCAATTGAAACCTTAAGCTCACCTTCTCCTGCTCAATAAAATCAAAGGGGTAATATTTATCCACTAAAGAACAGATATCATCAATGTTAAAAGACTTATATGAGTCCTTAGGATCCAAAGCACCACTAAGAGTAAGAAGATCCATTATCTGTTCACCGAATTTGCTATTCAGCTCTAACAATTATGAATCTATGGCTGCGTAAAACATATCAACCCGATAGTGACGTCCAATATCAAACCCTTCTTGATCATGGCGTTTGCGTTTTAGCGCATAAGGAGACTTCATATTAGGAACTTCAATTTCATGCTTTGTGCAAAACTCTTTAACAATTTCTAAGAAGTTATCCCATCCACTCTCCCTTAACTTTTGGATCAACATTTTGGTGCTTGACACCAAATGCATAGCATTTACTATGTCTTGGCACTTCTTCTGTATATGCTGACATAGAAGATCTGTAATGCCCATAATTTCTTTAATAAGATGCAACAAGAAAACAAAATCAAAAGATTTAATCTTCTTAAGTTCTCTAGCTGCATTTCCACGAGTAGAATAGTTATTGTCATTCTCTTCAACATCTTCTAAAACAGAACAAGTTGCACCAAACATCCTAATCAAACTGCAAACAGAACTGAAATGTGAGCTCCAATGAGTTCCCCCAGCTTGTTGTAATGTATCAACCTAATTAAGTCCTCTGCTTGTTTCAAGCTCACCAATTTCCAACATTCTTGCAATTTCAAGTGCTTGAGCTTCCTTTAATTCATCACTTCGTTTGCAAGAAGAATTAGTCACATTAATAATAAAGACTGAATCGATGAAAAAATTGTGCACATATTTCACCTCTCTAGAAGCAGCAACCAATGCTAATTGCAACTGATGTACTAAGCAATGAACATAGTAGGCATAAGGACAATCATTTAAAAATAATCGATCTTTCCGTTTCTTTCTTTTAGGTGCGCATGTTTTTCATTAGTTTGGTCTGGGCGGTGGGCTGGGATTAGATTTTGGGGTGGGTTAATGGGGAATAAATTTTGGAGTGAGTTGATATAATATTAATTGTAAAATTTCTATTTTTAGGCTCTTAAACAATTGGGTTTCTGCGAGTGGGCTATGCTTTGGGGGAGAAACTATTTTTTTGGGGGGGGTCAAAATTTTTCTTGGAGGGGCGAGAATTAAATGTTGGGGAGTAAAAAAAATTTGTATATATATATATATATACTAAAAAAATGTTGGGGGGGGGGGCAGCCCCCCTGGATCTGTACTACGGTCCGCCCCTGACTACGGGGCAGAATATGAAAATGTCCATTGGATTACTTTCAATTTTAGAGTAAGTTCAACGAAATCACACCATATACGAAAAGAGATACAATTGTGCGCATAATAATGTGCACATAAGACTCTAAGAGCATCCACAATGCCCCCAAGTCTAGTCTCAATTAAAAATGACAAATGTCAAATAATTAAATGGGTTTCTAATCCACATAATAAAAAGTGGAATGATTGGATAGTGAGGAATGCAATAAACCTCCAATGCATATAGTCTTACGGTCCATGAGAACTGCCATTTGGAATTAAATTAAATATTTTAAAATTAAAGTAAAACTGTAAATATATTAAATTAATATAACTGTCATATGAAAACTACCCATTATTTCGTTTCTCTATTGTTTTTCCGAAGATAGAGGCCATTTTGATGTGAGTCATTCAGCAAGTTTAAGGGGATGTCTACACATACACATTTAGCTTCACACCGTTCAATTTTTTATTTGCCATGTCACCGAATCTTACTTACACACTACATGCATTGGAAGAGAAAATAAGTAGTCTAAGTCTAATTTAATGATGTGGCACACTTCACATAGACTAAACATGGATGCATTGGGGATGCTCTAAGAATGCGGCAAATCAAACCGGGTAAAATTATGTCAATCTGTCTAGCTAAAATTGTCTTTTCTCTTTTTTCGATCTAATATTCCACTAAATTAAGATTGTATCATAAACTTGTGTGATTCTAAATCATTTTTATTTCAATACTAACAACATAAACTTACTTTTCAATAATATAATACACATAAAACTTCAATTCGTGACTTCGTGTGAAAACACCCATATTGATAACTCATTTTT